TTTTTCTGGTACTGTGTTTTATGGTATTAGCTTCAATGGTTAATGAGTAAAAATTTATGAAGGATATCTAATGAAATCATAGAATATGAAGGATATCTGAAGAAATCTTAGTATACAGGTTCTTTTTACTAAAGCAGTTTTGCTTCTGTTCACTTAGTTTTATTTTAACAGTGGTTCCACTTGTCCAAGCTGCTTTTATTTATCTTTAGCGTATAGTTTGTTAATCATTTCAGACGTCACTAATCCGAAAAAAATGGCAGCGAATCTCGACCCATCATCTCAAAGTAATGCATAATCGAAAATTTAATAGAAAATAATTTTTGAGTTACAGATAATTGAATGTTCAAAACTTAGCTGGTACTAATGACTCGGTATGTCTTTCTGAGGCTGTTTGAGCTGCTTCTTGAGCTGCTTCTTGAGCTGCTTTTTTAGCTGCTTCTTGAGCCCTCTTTTCGAACTGCTTCGAGCCCTCTTTTTGAGCTGCTTCTTGAGCCCTCTTTTTGAGCTACTTTTTTGAGCTGCTTCTTGAACTCTCTTTTTGAGCTGCTTCTTGGGCTGCTTTTTGAGCTACTTCTTGGCTTGCTTCTTGAGCCCTCTTTTTGAGCTGCTTTTTGAGCTGCTTTTTTTAGCTGCTTCATGAGCTGCTTCTTGAGCTGCCGATAGAATAATTTGACCGTTTTTTGTTTTCTTTTCTATTTTACAATAATTTTCACCTTGTACAAGGCCCAAGAGCTAGTCCAATTTTACTCACTGCTCTGCTGTTCGTGAATTGCATTCAATCAGAAGCTGAGATACGCTTATGGAAAAATCGCTATTCGAGACAATGTTTTTATTACCACGATTGATTATGACTCTCCACACATTCTTCATTAGCTTTCAATTACATTCATCGGATATATATTGTTTGAGCCTCTGTAGCTTTTTCCAAGGCAATCCATCTCTGGTAAAGATGCGAATGGAAGAAGTGCCTTCCTTGGCTTCATGTCTTTCCCAAAGGCATTTATGCAGACAGAATACAATACTGAATTGGTTTCACGCTGCTTTAGAGTACTAGCCGCCCTAAATAAGAGGGACCAGTCAACCCTAGCTATTTAACCCATAACATGGAGTGAAGTGAAGATATATCTTTCCCAAAGGTATTTGTATCTGTACACGCCCGTATTTGCATATCTGTGCCGCTATATACACACGAACACATATATGAAACTCGAAATATAAGAACGATGTATATATATATATATATATATATATATATATCGAATGTAACAACAAAACTGTTCAAATCGTGTAACAGCATAATTGTCCATTTCATAAAATGTTTGATACCTAAAATGTCAATAAATTAATTCAGTTTCTTTTTTCCAGGTTTTAGATAAAATGTTTAGCCATCTTGACATCATTTGTTGTAAGAATCGCTGAAAAAACGCTTTGAGTCATTCAGTTAGAAAGAAAACAGGTTAAATCGTTTTATGTCAGCCCCAGTGTCTTCCCAAAATGAGCAATGGTGAGAGGAAAAAGATCATTCAGACCTTCAACCAACATTTATACTTTGGCTTTCATCTTCAAAATCCATCAAGAGAACCATCAAGAGAAAGGTGAATAAGTTTAAAAAAGAGGTTAACAGTAGAGAGGAAAACTGGATCGGGAGGTCACAACAGGAAGAAGGATCATCATTTCAAATAAGAGCTAAAGAGATCAATTAGAAAATATCCAAGTCGATCTATGAGACGTTTGTAACATAAGAGAGGATTTTCAGCTATGACAGTCCAAAGTGCAATGAAAAAAAACTTGAAAATTAAATGGTACGTGGAACCTGTGAGGTACCTTGCTACTTCAGGAGAGAAAGAAGCTTAGAGAGAGCGAAGATCATCTTGAATAAGTTGGACAATGATCTGGGAAATATATATATATATATATATATATATATATTTAAAATCAAAACTTAATTTCATTACTTCATGAGCTACCGAGCCTTAGCTATGATTAATTAATGATGAATATGTCATTTTTCGTTTATGATCGATTTGATCACGATTCTTCTGTTAAGTTTGGGGAGTAATTATAGATTGTTATTGCTTAAAGTAGAGTCCAATAGGGTTATAAAAAAATCTGAAAATCCATTAAGATATCTTTAATCATTTCTAAGATACAATGGTTCAAAACATAATCTAACAAATGGACAATTTTGCTTTTACACGATTTGAACAATTTTGATAGATAGATAGATAGATAGATAGATAGATAGATAGATAGATAGATGAACAGTGAGGTAGATGAACGGAAGTAGATAGATAGATAGATAGATAGATAGATAGATAGATAGATAGATAGATAGATGAAACAGGCTAAGATATATAGAATCAGAATAAGATAGGTAGAATCATAATCAGATAGAAAGAAAGAGAGAAAGAAAGAAAGAATCAGGATCAGATAGATAGATAGATAGATAGAGAGAGAGAGAGATAGAGAGAGAGAGAGAGAGAGAGAGAGCCATTTGGGTCTGTAGATGTTTAAATCAGCCGGCTTCAGTTAGGTTCCTGTCCTCTCTCCATTAAATCGTATATGATTAGCGGTGAACTAACGAATGGCCGAGGTCTTACATTTACTGTTGAGCACTTTCAATGATTTTTCTTCTCAGTGAATTCGGCAAATTCTCACCTGATCAGACTGGCATATTTTTTTTAATCAAACCTCTGGTCAAATATATTACGTTAAACCATTTAAAAATGGCTTAATCTCTCTGTCCTCAACAGTAAATCTAAGACGGGCCATACATTATTTCAACGATCATCGCAAAAACAATGTTACAATGCCATATACGAGTTAGCTGAGTGAGGAACAGGGACCAAACTGAATTCGGCTGATTTAAGCATCTACTGACCAAAACGGCTCTAATGTGTGTGTGTGTGTGTGTGTGTTGTGTGTGTTATATATATATATATATATATATATATATATATATATATAGATCGTCCGAAATATTTTTTTTTTTTTTTTTTTCATACATACATTTACCCACCATTGGACAATTATATATATATTTAAAAAATATAACATTATATATATATTTAAAAAATATTACATGCTTATCTTATAGCATCATTACAAAAACAAAATATATATATATATATATATATATATATATATATATATATATATAAAACGAAAAACAGACCATTTAAGGTATCAGTATAATAATTTATTTCACCAGAGCCCTTTTAAAGTACGCCGGATCATCAGATAGCACTTCCCCACCCAAAAAAAAAAAGAATTTTAAAAAATTATAACATTATATATATATATATTTTAAAATTATAACATGCTTATCTTATAGCATCATTACAATATATATATATATATATATATATATATATATATATATATATATATATAAAAATTATAACATTATATATATATTTAAAATTATAACATGCCTATCTTATAGCATCATTACAAAAAAGTAATGGTGTTGCAAATAAAAAAAATCTTACTTGCAACACCATCACTTGTCAAAACACCAGAAGTGTCGAAACATAATGGCTATTTTTGTAGTGATATTGTAACATACTTAGGTTATAATTTTTAAAAAAAATGTTATTCGATCTAATTTGTATTGAGCACTTTTTTTAAAAAATAGTGTTTTTTTAAAAAATAGTGTTTTTTCCATCTATAATTTTTTATTCTATATATATATATATATTCGTATATATATATATATATATATATATATATATATATAATGAAATGGACTAAGTTCGACAATTATTTTAATATATTTATCCGTTATTTTTATAGGCACAAATATTTAAGTAAATGTTCTATTTATGAAAAACAGAATTAACATTTACCGGTCTGAATGTCCGAGAAATTTTATAGAAAATGTTTACCCTTCGACAGGAATCGAATAGGTATCCTACACGGAAACGTCATATGGCCTGACGTGCCATACCATTTAGCTACAGGGGAAGCGTCTTGTTAGCAAGGGAAATTTGGAGTTTAAAAGCAGTAATTCGACCTTGCTAACCAGATGCTTCACCTGTAGCTAAATGGTATAGCACGTCAGGCTATATAACGGTTTCGTGTAGGATACAGGTTCGATTCCTGTCGGAGGACAGATTTTTCTATGGAAATTTATTGGGCATTTAGGCCCGTAAATGTTGTTAATACTGTTTATTATAAACAGTGCATTTACTTAAATATTTGTATCTATAAAAATAACGTATAAGCAAATAAATATATTAAAATAGATGTGTGTACAAATGGCTTTTGTATAGATGTATTGTATTGTTTGATGTACATATAGAGGCGCATTTATGCATTTGTACAAATATATATGAATAGTGGTATGTGTATGTATATATATATATATATATATATATATATATATATATATAATAGTTGAGTAGTTTGGTTTGTTTTGTTTTGCGGCATATAAACCTCAATGGGTCATTTAATGCCGACACCTTTTTTTTTTCCTGGTAATATTTTTTTTTTGTCAAAAATCTATTTCTGTTAATATTTTTTTCCTCAAAAATGTATAGCTGGTAATATTGTTTTAAAAAAAATGTATTGCTGGTAATATTTTTTTTCTTCAAAGATTTATTATTACAAAGTATTTCTAGTAAAAAAAAAGAACCTATTTTTACACATTCATAATGCTTTTTACCTCAGTTTCGGGGATAACTATTTGCCCATAGCTGGGACCCTAATAGGTGCTACCACCCTGGGTCAGGGTGGACCTGGGAACACCAGCAATTAAGAGGTGATTCCACGCTCCTCAAAGACTCCTGATCGTAGTTTATCGTCTTACCCTGGACGTGGATGTAGTTTATCGTCTTACCCAGGACGATCTCCATTTCCGTTTCGCTAGGTAAATCGAAATGATCAGAAGTTTTTTTGTTTTTTGTTTTTTCGTTGCTACTACAGCATTCGATCGAAATCTATTATACTGCGGACGTCTTGCATCAGCATTTTGTTATTGTTTTCCTTGAGGCTCAATTAAATCTTTGAGGAACACAGTATTAAGTACATTAACAATTACATAATTTAAAATTCTATATTATATACTTAGATAGTGATCAACGATAAAATCAAAGGGCATTAATAAAAAAAAAACTTTCTAAATATTTAAAATAGTTTAAAATATTTTCTTACCAAAAATTAATAGATATTATAAAAATTTTGTGATGTCAACGAACACTCGTTGCTACTTTTGTGATATGCGTTGTAATAGAGACTTTGCAATCGCAGTAACGTTGTTATACAATGCTGGTGTCAGGTACCTTCGAATAACACTCCCACTAATAGCACTTGCTCGATAATACCCGCTCGAAAAGTAACCACCGAAAAGTGATCCGAATAGTAATCCATATAATGAGATATTCGCTATCCTCCCAAGCGGTAGGATGGGGCAGAAAGCCGAGTTTATTGTGGGGTATCCGAGTCCGTAGACTTGGTAAAAATTCCCCGTAAACCCCGTACAAAACGGGGTCGGGTAACTGTCTCCCGCGACAAGACTCTGCCTTTCGACATAGCCTCATCTGGGGATCCTCTCTGCCCAGAGGCAGAGAGTCTGACAAGCACACTTCCGTAGTAATTCGGAGAGTGAGATGTTCACTAATCGCCTCACGCGGCCAGATACGACACAAGGCCAAGTTTATTGTAGGGTATCCGAGCCCATAGGCTCGGTCAAAAATTCCCCGTAGACACCGTAAAAGACAGGGTCAGGTAGTTGTCTACCATCCCATACGAGACTCTGCCTTTTGACATGGGGATCCTCTCTGCCCGGAGGCAGAGAGTTTGACGAGCACATCCCGAAATAATCCGTAAAGTGATCTCTTAGGCGCCACGCTAATTTCTATTTCCTTAACCACAACGTGATCTACTTATTCAAAATGGGATCGCCTGTGTTTGTTCTCTGGTGATCTGTGTTCAAACTCCAGTGTCGGCAGCGACACTATATTTCTATATAAGAAAAAAATACTTTGTACTATATCCTTTGTCATTTAAAAACAGCCAAAATTACTTCGGTACTGAGGAATATGATTGCAAAAGAAAGCAATGATCAATAAAGACAGTAAAGCCACAAAGATGCAAGGAGTTACTGAGTGCGAGAGAATATGAAAAAAAAGAAAACCTTATTAAGGATGGACCAACAAAAGAATAAGAATTAAGAAGACAGAAGATAACGATTTACATTGCATTAAATTTTTGAAGATGAAAGATAGAAAGCAATAAGCCAGAATAAATTTCCACAAGCGACAGTGGCAATAGAAGTAACTGTTAGCTTACGTTTACATCTATCCATTTCAAGTGTAAAATGATGAGACCTATCCGCCAATCTAGTACTGTTCATAACATCTATGTGCCAAAGAGGAAAGCTCATGAGACGTCTTATTTTTCACTCAGTACCTTTAGTACATGCTAACAATTTCTATAATATTAAAAGTCAGGAGACTGGTTTGGTCAATTTGACAAATGTACGATATCTTTATTTTCATAAATAATTAGCGACCATCTTCGAAGTTTATTATCACGCACCATTCCATTGAATTATTTACAAATTTACACATATTTTAAGATATGCTTTCATGAAATATAAGTTGATTTTTCGATCTATATTTACTTTTCACAAATGATTACATTTTTCCATCTCCTCTAAATACTCCCTATACTGTAATTGTGGCTGCGTGATTCAAAGGATATGTTCTGTCAAATCATTCATCATTTTTCCTATCATTTCACCCCATGCAAGGCAATAAAGTCACTAAGACGCAAGTGGTTACTGAGTGAAAGAGAACAATAAAATAACACGATTTATGATAACAGATTGTAACGATTGATATTCCATTTAAATATTTGAAAATCAGACTTAACTGGGAACAAAGAAGCCAAACGTTTTACAAGCAAGACGAGAAGAAACTTTCAGCTTAGAACTTACGGTTACTTCCAGTCATTTCAACTGGAAAATGATGAGACCTATCCGCCAATCTAGTACTGTCCTTAAACTCAAAGTTTAGATACCATAAAAGAAAGTTCATCGGGACAATTACCATGCAAGTATTTATAGAAAATGAACATAGAATTGATTCAAGAAAGGTTAGCATCAGCCATGCTGATAAAAGGGACTAAGGGCTCACTGGGACAATTAAATGAGAGCAGTTACCTTTTTGAGGAGTTAAAATTAACAAGCCACCCCTTGTCCCATTTAACAACAGATTGTAGGTCATTTTTTAGATTAGATGCCAAGTTGATCTTATCGAACTGATGAGACATGTGGACTTGGTGTGAGGATGCTCTTTGTCATCTATAATTGAGATAGAGGCAAAGATGGAGGCAAAGATGGAGGCAAAGAGGTTCACTTTCTCTGTCAAGGAAGGTATGACTTTTGGAGCCATTTATAATTGTGGGCAAAGCTGCTTTATCTCTGTTCATGATTTGGTTGGTGAGCTTACAGAATTAACGAGATCCAATTTGATGAGTCCTCTCTGCCAATCTAGT